TATAGCGCCCTTTCCTAAAATGTCCAAAAGCGCTTTACAAACAAATAATAGTTAATAATAACAATATCTGTAATATCAAAATCAAAAAACTATGTAATCTAAAAGTCAATAAGATTTAACGAATGATCAATGAAAAGCTTTGCGAAATAAATATGTTTTGAGATAACTCTTGAAAATATTTAAAGATGTACTACATTTAATTTGCAGTGGCAAGGCATTCCAAAGCATTGGAGGAGAAATAGAAAAAGCGCGGTATCCATAAGACTTTAGATTATAATTTGAAACCTTGAGTAACCTCTTAGAACCAGATCTCAAACAGCGTTGAGGAGCATAAGACTCAAGTAAATCGCAGAGATACTTTGGCGCAATACCATGGATAACTTTATACGTAAAAAGAAGAATTCTAAATTCGATACGCTGCTCAATCGGCAACCAATGCAGCTGTACTAAAATGGGTGTGATATGCTGAGATTTGCGTGATAAGGTAACCAGCCTGGCAGCAGTGTTTTGTACATACTGCAGCCTCTGCAAAAGATGCTTCGGTAAACCAAAAAGTAAGGCATTACAATTATCTAACTTATTTGTAATGAAAGCGTGAATTGATATCTTAGTGGTTTCAATACTTAAAAATTTCCTTATGCGTGAAATGTTTCTAATAAAATAAAAAGCAGATTTTCAAATCTGAGTTATATGGCTGTCCAGAGATAAGGTATTATCGTAAATAACGCAAATGTTTCTTGCACACTCTGAAGGAGTGACAGAGGAACTAGCCACTTGCACTGCATGTACTGGTGGAGCCGGGCGGTGCTTAGCATGGAATATCAGGATTTCAGTTTTATCATCATTAAGCTTTAATTTGTTGTTCAGCATCCACATATCAATGTCTCGTACACATGCTTACACTTTCATGACTCGAGCTCGAGTTTGAGTTCGAGTTAGGTACCAGTTTACTTCGTTCGTTTTTGTGATCCTGCGACCATTACCACTGAGAACCACGTTGTTTCTCTGTCATGTCATATGGCGTCTTAAGTCCTTTTATAGTAAAGCACGAATAGCACACGAAGTACAAGTTGTGAATATCCGTATGTTTCGTCAACACAGAATTTTACAATTATTTTAATTTCAAGCATTAGGGTCTCATCACGCATCGTCATGGAAAGGATGTTAAACAATGACAAGAAAGATCATTACAACTACGTAACCATGGAATTGCGTGCGAAAATATTTATTTTATGGTAAATATTTATTATTTTCCTAAAGAGGAGGCAAGAAAGAGAAAGAGACAGAGAGAAACAGAGACAGAGAGAACGTTTGATTTTGTAGCATAAGCTGTAAAGCAGTTTTCTTAGGCTGCGTTCATTATTTATACCGCAGGGGGGGGGGGGGGGGGGG